GAGTGGGTTTCCGAGACTGTAGTTCAATCACATTCAGAATTGTACCATCATCACTACCACCAGTTTCAGAGCATTCCTTCTTCCTTGTCCTCATTGTTAACAGGGTCCCATTTCCCCCAGCCTCCCTTGCCGTACCCCCAAGGACCCATTCATCCAGTTATGTCTACTGTCTCTGTAGATTTACCGGTCCCGGGTGTCCTAGACAGGAAAACAACAAAGCTACCAACAATAACAAAGTAGCACCGGAAATCTAAGGAGAAACGCCACAGGGGGGAGGGGTCAGCAGGGAGATGAGAGGAGAAGGGGTGGAGTGTCAAGTCGAAGCTTGAGAGAGCGACCCTGCCGTCCTTGTTTTTCCGCCTCCCAGGGGGCCCCGCGGGCAGCTGGCCCTTCCCGCCCCACCACGTGGCTGGCCCAGGAGGGAGGCTGCGGGCTTTGTGTGCAGGCTGCATGTCCAGCGGGACAGTTCTGTCGAGTGGGGCATGACGTGGAGCCCCCTCACCCCGACAGACTGCCCTGCGTGAGGAGGTGTGCCTCACTGAATGGGGGCCCTTCCCAGCAGCCTCCTGTCCGAGGTGTGTGCCCTTGTCTCCTCCCGCTCCATGTCTGCAGAAGCTGTGCTCTTGGGAAACCTTGGACTCTTGCCTGCTTTAATTCTCGGGCCAGCGAGGGTAAAGCACCCCATTAGAGCCAGACTGGTGTTGTGGCCGTTATTGTAAACTCCCTCACCCTGCTTCTTCATCTGGAAAATGGGGGGACCAGAAGTGCTCTTGGCTCCGAGTGTGGGGGGATCGTGTTGTGCCTCCCCACCCATGACTGGACGGGGTCAGCCGGTGTAAGTGGCGGAGCCGGGGCTTGTCCCATGGCTCGCGGTGGCAGCCCAGCGCTGTGGCTCGTAAGCGTCTCAGTAGAAAGCGCCCGGTGCTATATCCTGCTCTCACACGAAGCCCTGTCTCCCAATTGACTACCCCAGGGAAGCCCGCCGTGGACCCTGCAGCTGCCAGGCTCTGGACGCTCTCCGCCAACGACATGGACGACGACAGCACGGTGAGTGCCGGCCCGAGCCTGTCCCTTCCTGCCGTGGTGGTGGCACGTCTTCCGTGGCTTCACCTTACCCCTGACTGTCACAGGACAGAGGGCAGACAGTGAGTGCATGTAAACCTGGGACGGCCTAGCATGGTCACAGTGGGCCTTGAGCAGCACATTCCATCTTTAATCCCAGGGGTGCTCAGCTGTGGTGCCCTCCCCAGGCCTCTCACAGCAGTCGTTGTTTGCCCTTTGTCTGTCTGTCTGTCTGTCTGTCTAAAGAAATGGAGCCCTGGCCTCTACCTGCTCCTCTCCTGCCCCACAGACACGCAGAGAGGGATGTTCTCCCCACGGTGCTGGCCGGCTCCCACAGCGATTCGATTGTGCACATAGCATAGCTCTCCTTTGGTGCCTTGAGCGTGGTGGTCAGATTGAGGGTCAGAAAGAGGGCTGCTGCCGGGGGTCACTTCCACAGAGACTGGCTCTGACTCATTGCCTCGCACACCTGCAGGATCTCATTGACTCGGACGAGCTGCTGGATCCAGAAGATCTCAAGAAGCCAGATCCAGCTTCCCTGCGGGCGGCTTCCTGCGGAGAAGCGGGCAAGAGGAAGGCGTGTAAGAACTGGTGAGTACTGGAGGAAGCAAGTCTACCCTGCCACTCCATTTTACTGCTTTCAGTGGGTGTGTTGGGGAATACTGGCCGAAGAAGCAGAGACCCCTGTGTGCCACCTCCCGCCCTCCCCTCCTTCCTACAAGTTGGGACTCATCGCTCCCTGGCTGTGTGGGCCGTTCACTGCCTCCCATGAATCTCCCGCCAGTGCACTGGTAGTTGTGTAGAACCCCCTCTACACCCAAACCAAACTGCCAGCTGTTCCCTTGACTTGCAGGCCCAGGGAGGGCGAGCTGTGGGTCAGGGTCTGGTCTTGGCTTGGGGAATCTGTGAGAGCCCTGCATTTGTTTTGGGGTTGCTGTAACAGGCGGCCCCAGCCGAGGTCATTCCCAGCAGTAGACTTCTGTGTCCCCCCTATTGCATGCTGGAGGCCAGGCGTGAGGAACCTGAAGGCTCTGGGGGAGCAGCCTGTCTCTTGGGACTTCTGATGACTCCAGGCATCCGTGGCTTGTGGCTGCATCACTCCGAAACTGTCTTCCTTCCTGTCTCTGCCTCCTCCAGCTTTTACAAGGCCACTGGCCACTAAGTGAGGGCTCCCCTGGGTAACCCAGGATGGTCTCATCTCCAGGTTCCTCCGTCAGTCACACCTGCAAAGGCCCTCTTTCCAAGTAAGGTCCCGTGAAGTTAGGATACAGACACGTGTCATGGGAGCCACCGTTCACACCACCTTCCGGGAAAGTCAGCGGGAAGACTCGGGAACGCCGCCGTAACGAGAGCGGCTGGCGGAGCCGGGCAGATGCAGTCACAGGGAGGGGCTGTCCTCGGCCTCCTACCACTCAGGAGTGTCCTCAGCTGACCCGGCATCAGAGACGACACTGTGGTTGAGACAAGCCCAGGAGAGCCTCGGCCAGCTCCTCTGCCCTGGGGCTGGGCACTTCTGGTGGCAGCAGGTCTCTGATCACGTTGCTGCAGGGCACACGTGTCCGTGTGGCACAGAACCCGTGTCCCCAGAGGACTCGTTCCCCAGTCTTGATGGTGCGCCGTGCCCTGACCCAAGTCTTCCTCTGGGTTCCCTGGGGTTTCTTTACAACCCCCCCACCCCCCACCCCCTGTGCCGTGGTCAGAGGTGTGATGGCTGGTTTTCTATGGAGGTGGCATTGCGTGGCTGGAAAGGCCTCTCTACCTGAAGCGATGGCTGACATGAGAGCGGAATCTGGGTTGGAAGCCATGCTCTTGCAGAACTTGGCAGCCGCTCAGCCACTTCCGGCTTCTGTGTGTCCGAGGTCTTTGCTCCTCGCCCTGTCTTCCACGTTGGGGCACGAGGGTGTGCTGGAGGGTGTGCTGACCGCTGTGTCCTGGTGCCTTGCAGGGGTCGGGGAGGCAGCCCCAGCCGTGCCCCTGCAGACTCTCCTTTCGTTTTTGATTGCTGTCTTCTCTGTCTGCAATGCTCGTGGTTCTCTGCGATGTCGGCCAGCCGGCGGCGTTCCCTTCCACGGGTCTCGCTCTCCCCTCTGTGCCGCCGCCCTCGAGAGATTTCTTCAGCGTATCTTCCAAAACCTCCGCGGGGTGGATGGCATTTCTAATGGCGTGTTTGACGGTTGGAGGTGTCCATGTGGAGATAAAGCCCTGCTTCCTCTGCCTGCCCCTGAGGATGGGGATGGCTCTCCAGGGCCCCCCCCCATCTCTGTTTGTCCCAGGTCCCCCGCCTTTAGTGGCCCTCAGGGTAGAGGGGTGCCCGAGCCTGACTTGCAGACCGAGCTTACTCACGGGCTGGGGGGGAGCTTGTCAGAAAGCGCCCCAAAGTCAGTGTATGGGCCTTCCTCAGGAAGCAGCTAGATTTCTCAGCAGTGGACACCCCGCCACTGGGGTCGCTGATCCCACTCCTCGTGTGATTCCCGGGTGAAGGAGCCTGGTGGCCCAGCTGCGCCCTGCGGGGGAGGGGATGAGGCACTGTGCCTCCATGGGAAGTTCTGTGCCTTGGGGGTGGGGGGGTAGGGGAGGATGAGGCCGTACGCCCCTAGAGAAGCCGTGGGCACAGGGCCCTGTGGGTCAGCATGGACTTGGCACAGCAGGTGGTTACCTAGGGCGGGTGCTCGCCCCGTCTGCTGTCGGACTCCTCCCAGCATCCCCTGGCCCTCCACGACTCGGAGTCTGCAGACAGCTCCCGCTGCAGCTGGCCATGGTGCGCAGGGAGTGAGGTCAGGTGTGGGCCTTGCTTTTGCCGATGCCCTCGGCAGACGCTCCCTGCACTGGCTGCACCTGAGGAGCTGGGCGGGGTGGAGTCCCCAGGGGGTGCCATCCTCAGGTGTGTTGGGTTGGGTTTGTTTTATATGGAAGCATTTACAAATCAGATTTCAGCTAGAAATCCTGTCTGTCTGTCTGTCTCCTCGCCCCCACCCCCCTTTTGGAAGGTGGGCAGCACTGGTCCTATTTTCCCCGACACCCCTTGCCTCCCCCTACTGCCTCCCCAGGTGGCCTGCCGCGGGCATTTATTGGAGGGCTATTGTGGGGGTGGGCCGCAGGGGGTGGAGGGTACTGGTGTTTCTGGGTGGCGACCCATCTCAGCGGCTCCTGATGTCCCCCCAGCACGTGTGGCCTTGCCGAAGAGCTGGAGAAGAAGTCAGAGGAGGAACAGAAGAGCTCCCAGCCCAAGTCCGCCTGTGGAAACGTAACTATGTGCCCAGCGATGCCCCCCCACCCCCAGGCTTAGCCCCAGGAGCTCACTGGCCCCCAGTGACAGAGTGCTGCTGGCAAGAGGCCACCTCCGGGGTGGGGGGAAGCTCTCACCCTCTCAGTTCAGGCCCTTTTCTTTCCCTCCCTGACGGGCCGGAAGTTAGGGAGCTCTGGCTGTGGCTTGGCTGTCGTGTGAACTGCCTAGAGGAGGGGTCGGCAAACTTTTGAGATGGAAGAGCCATTCCTGTCCCTCACAACACATTTGAAAACTATTGAAGAGCTGTCTGCATATCTTTTACAAACAAAGCCCTGTTATCGAAATAACACCCTGTAAATGTCCCTGCATTTTGGGCCCAAGTTTGAGCTGCAGAGGCTCTTGGCCACCCTGCCCTGCAGGTACTTCCTTTGCCCTGCCGGCCTGGCTGTGTTGTGCTTCCCATAGTGACCCGCTCCTCTCTCGACAGTGCTACCTGGGCGATGCGTTCCGCTGCGCCAGCTGCCCCTATCTCGGGATGCCAGCCTTCAAGCCTGGGGACAAGGTGCTTCTCACCAACAGCCACCTCCAAGACGCCTAGGAGACCCAGCGGGGACGCCGCTGCCGCCCCAGCCAAGCCCTGTCGCCCGTCGCTCCAGGTTTCCCCCTCTGCCCGAGCGACAGTGATGGGGTGTGGTGTGGCTGCTATGCATCCACAGACCAGACGGCGGGGGTCCACTGACCCTGAGTGGGGCTCGCTCTTCACCCGAAGCCCCGGCGTGATGCCACCGACCACACTAACCCCCTGTGTCACCAGCAGCGCCTGCCACCTGTGCTCTGGAGTCACTGGCTGGACGTGCAGGCAGTGGCTCATGACCTCTCGGCGCTGATGGACTAGCTTACGGGTTGCTGTGACTACCCGGCCTCCCTGCACCCTTCCCCTCCTGTGTGTCCAGAGCATTGCACCTGTGTGCTGTAGCGCCAGGCAATAAACGTCCATGTGCATACACCCAGCAGCTGTTTGGGGGTGTCTGGAGGGGTCTGCCTGCCACCCAAGCACCACCTCACTCTTAGAAATTTGTTTCTGTGGAGGGACTCAGCCTCTG